TGACCTAAATTAACAATCTTATTTCAGGTTATAATTGTGTCAGAATTTTTTTGTAGAAGCCTTGCAGTGTCCATTTATATTTCGCATCATGTGAGTAGTTTTTGACGTAAAATATGTAAAATAAAATAGAAAGCATTCCATATCAAACAATAATTGTCCAGTAGCATTTAATTTTCATTTTCATTATATTATATGTGGCAATCAAATATGCATATGCACTTATTGTCCCCATTAACACCAGCTAATATCACAATGGTCATTACAACATTACACAAAAGCAATCTACATTTAAGTTCAAGTTTTATAGCTATAATCATTATGTATACCAATCCTTTGCTTGCGCTATACATCACAATTTTTCTCAATGTAATGCTATAATGTAGCCTAACTACAATGACACAGAAAATGCTTAAACTTGTAGTCAAGTTCGTTCTGCATAAGCGCATGTTTCCGATCTGTGGGTCCACACATTAGCTTAGTAGCATCCAGAATACATCACAAAAGATAGTTTGAACTCCTAAACAACAAATTTCGAGGGTCATGTTTAAAGTAGCAGCTCCAGCCAGTTTGATACAAAATTTAATCACATTTCGAACAATCTCGCCAGTAGAACGTAATAAATGTCGTGGTGCTTAAAGACCAAACGCCAAATAATGAGGACCCTTATGAAAAGGTCATCTTTCATGATATGGCTTCTCAGGGGCGGACTGGGCGGTCGGGCATTCGGGCGCGGACCGAGGCCCGGAATGCATTGAGGGCCCGGAATTCACTAGATTTCGAATGTCAACGAACCATTTATCCAAACACGTCAGACTCTGCCCTTTCAAAGTAAACATTCAGAATCTGTAGCAACTGCTTTTGATGACAGTACAGCTGTACGTAGCAGCTGTTGTAAACCATGCCAAATTTCTAGGGGCTCTGAAACTTATTGCCGAGTTCTATCCAACCCTCCAGACTGATTTAAATAAAGTAATCAAGTTGGCAAAGAAACGCGATCCTAAAAAGATCGGGTAAATTTTGTATATTTTTTCAGCAAAACCAGTGTTGTAAAGATTTTCAAATTGATCGCAGAGATATAAATTAGAAAATTGCCAAATATGTACAGATGGATACTACTACAGATGTTTTTACCCGAGATCTGTGTGCTGTTGTTATAAGGTATGTAGAACAGGACAAAGCGAGAGAAAGACTATTGCGTCTTGTAAATGTGTCCTATATTCAAGAACCCAAAGTCTCCACAATTTAATGGAGAAATATTTAGAAGAGGTAGGAGTTTAACTGGATATATGCATTGGAGATTCATTCGACGAAGCAGCGAATAAAAGTGTCTACAATGGCTTACACGCTCTACTTAAACAAGTCCGTCCTAGCCATGTCCATACCTGGTGTTATGCGCAGGTCCTCAATTGGTCATGCATCCACCGTTTCCGTCCAAGCTGTAAGTCCGTTTGGGCTACTGAATCAAATGGCAAATCTCTTTGAAAAATTTTACAAGAACATGAACGTGTGAGAAAAGCAGATGGAAGATATTGCCGGCCATGGAAATCTTCGAAAATTAGCGAGGTTTTGCCAAACCAGGTGGTCCAGCCGAGCAATCGAGGGGCTTGAGAAAATTGTTTGGCAGTTTCAATGACAACACAATAGAACTATTCTCAAATCTGTTGATGATTCTACAACACGTCACTGAAACACCAAATTTCAAGCGTAGTATTCGATACGAAGCCAATTGCCTGCATGGGGGCAGGGGGGAAATCTTTCAAAGTTTGAAACTGTGTTAGTGGCATTCACATATATTCTAATTTTTGTTATCACCACCCCAGTGTCGGATTATCTGCAGACACCTGGATTAGATGTTCTTCAAGCAATGGGTATGATTAACGAATCAACGGACAAACTAAGCAAGATATATCGCTAGAGATTTTGCTGATATCTACCAGCATGCGCAACGTTTATCAATGGAGTTAATGATAAATTATCCAAAGAAGGCATTCGTTTGACAACCGACCTACCAGAAATTCGGGCAACTCGAAGAGCACCCGGAGAGCAAGATGCTGAAAAAAGTTTTGAGATAAATTGTCATAATGTTATCCTGGATACAGCAACCGAATCTATATCTCTGATCACAAAGAACTATATAACGGGTTTGCGTACTTTCATCCTACCAGGTCTAAGGAAGTAAAAACACACCCAGAGATTATCAATATAACCACGATAGCTGAAGCTTTGCCTTAAGTAGACACGGTCTGTTTAAAAGAAGAGCTCTTATCCTTAGCTTCAAACTACCATCAACTGAAACAATGCTTGGTTCCATGTAATGATAACGATCTGAGCGACTTATAATTCAATTTAAATAATATTGAAAAAACTATATATTTGTACACTCGTACCTGGGCCCGGATTTTATTCCTGGTCGATACCCAAAAGTTAGGGCTTCCTCACTAGAGATTGTTCCCAATTAAAATTCAATTAAAAATTAGGTATAAGTTTATTTTATACCACTACAACATGTTCAGGGCCAGAAAAGTCACGAAAGGAGGCTTGACTTCCCCAGAGGGGGGCCCGGAATGCTGGAAATGCGTAACATGTTAAATATTAAGGAATATTCTGAAAAATTGAGTTCGATATAGGTCTTAAAAAGAATTTTTGAACCCCATTATCGCAAAATAGGGTTTGAAACAATTTTTTAGACGCTATAGAACACTGCGCACGTCAGGTCATTTTGGAAGTTCTTTCATTTTGTTAAAGGGAAATGGCAATATATTTTTTTATTTTCTCATTTGACAGAACTTTTGAAACTATTTAATAACTTCTTTTACCTAGTCTGCATATCTTGCTTAGTTCTTGAACTATTTTCACTTGAAGTAATGAGATGTCAGCCATCTTGGATAAATTTTTGATTCATTAACAGTAGCTTTGGTGAAGTCACAACAAGGATTAACCATATAGAAGCATTCGTTGCTGACCAAATATTGATTGGTAGATGTTTTAAAGGTTTCAAGTGACCTTAGTATTTGGAAGGGCATACAGAGTATAATTTTGAGTGCAAAATGATTAGTGGTTGTCTAGATAAAAATATTGCGTGACTCCTGTTGTGACGCAACTTGCATATCTACAAAAATCCAAGATGGCGGACATTTTATTTCTTTCGATTAAAATATTTGTAGAAGTAAGCAAGATATGAAAAAACGGTAAAAGAGTTTTATATATGGTTTTAAATGCTCTTTCAAACGAGAAAATAAAAAAATATATTCCCATTTCCCTTTAATCATCTTCTGCGCCCTGCTCGCATGAATGGTTACCCGGTTTTGAGTACGCCATTATTGAGTAGGGTTTTGTGATAATTATATCGAGCCACCTTAAAACACAAAGCAATTTCAATTTCTTTGGTTGGGTTGTGGGAACATTTTTTGTTGTTGTTTCTAAGTAGGTTTTGCTGGAAAGAAAACTACATTTCATTTGTCAGAAGAATACGAAGTTGCATTATTTCCAAGAGTCACGTAATCTAAATTATGTTCGATAATTGCAGAGGCGCCGGAATATCGATAATTGGGGACAGATATTCATATATTCGTGTTCTGCCCAATAAAAATCGATTGTTTTTACAGTCTGTCGGAACACGAATATATGAATATCTGCCCCCGCTATTATCGATATTCCGGCGCCTCTGGATAATTGTGCATGATCTTCCCTGCTGCATGATTGAATTGTGAGAATATTCTCTGCTCTTAGAACCTATACAATGTTGTTTGTAGGGTATAGGGATTTTAATAAAGCATACCTGTTCATGTGTTTTCGATGCCGGAGTGCTTGATGATACAGGAACTTTAGGTTTCTCCAGGAAAATACTACAAAATACAAAAGAATATGTTCCCCCTAAAGGTCTCACTCTTTGCCCGTTTATTTTGCGCAGGTGGTTGATTCAACACGATGTACATAAAACGCACAAGCATAAAACTTTTGGCCGTTGTTGCACAGGAGAGGTAATTTCCAATTTAAATATTTCTAATTTTGTGTCGTTTGTTAGTCACAGTCGTTCTCGTAACTGTGAAAATCCTTATCTCGTACTTAATGTTCCATCGTGTAAAACAAGTGCTTTCCAGTCGTCTTTCTTTAACCGTATTGTCCCTCTCTGGAATTGTGTGTGTAAAATAGCTTATCTTGCAGACCTTCGCAGTCTAACCATGTTTAAATTTTTTGTCAAGAACATGATACTTACAGTTATTAGAAAAAGTTATAATGTAGATATGCCATGTACCTGGTCTTTATGGCGTAGTTGTTCGTGTCATAGGTCTTAACTAATAGTTTCTAAAGTAAACACGCTTGTTGCTTGAGTATTTCTGTTTTCTGATACTCTAGGTATAACGCAGTATTGGCCTGTTTTTTTTTTATATAGTATTAATCACTTTATTAAACCAACCACATAAATATGTTAGAACTTCAAACAATTGGCATATGTTTATTTTGGTTGTAGCATAGTAATTCTTGTAACTTAATTAATTTGTAAAAAGGTGCATCGCATGGGACTTCGAGTCCCGTTTGCACTCGTGCCGTTTCGTATGTATTGTTTTACTGTCCAATAAATTTTATACAATATAATATAATATTGTTTAAACACCACATTATTGTTATTATTATTATTATTGTCTTTATTAGGGTCCACTAAAATATATGCACAAAGTCTAATTATATAGTCAATTATTCCGAGACCCTAAATGGGCGAGGCGCAAACGGGACTCGAAGAACCATGCAAGGCACCTGCCCAAACTGAGTAAAAATTTACTGTTCTAATTGAAAATCTATACTGTTCTAGTAAACCTCGGAGGTGCATACGCCTCATAAAAATCGAGATTTAGTAAATCCCCCAGTTGCTTCCCACAATGCATTGTATTCCTATTTAATGAACGAAATGCGGGAAACAACTGGTACAAATCGTAAATGCACCCACTCAAGGTTTAAAAACTATATTATGCTGTGTTATGTTTATTTCATATATTATATAACGGGATTATTAAGTTAAACATTATTACATAATGTTAATAAACAGTTAGGACCTGCGGCAAGGACAGTCCCGAGTCAAAGACCACGTGCAAGACACGTCTATGTCATAAATAGAGTTAACTAAGATTGAATATTTGTGATTCAGATAACATTTAAAAGAACTAGGTCTAGAGAAACTGTCAAGAGTTACTTGAAGAAGGATCGGTGCAATTTTCTCAAAACGTTTTAGTAAAGAATTATAATATAATAATTTCGGTAATTTATTGCAATAAATATCGTAAATGTTATAGAGTTAAAATATCGAATTTTTACACTTGCCTTTTTTCACGAGTTATGTGTTCGAATTCAATTCCATATGTCTCAGTATGAAAATTATAGTTAAAGGCACAGTTCAGCCTTTTGACTGATGGTTTTTAAGGTACCAGAGGAAAATAAATTATGCCTAATTCAAGACCGGTAAATTCAATGTTTTTAACGATTAAAATGTTTTAAAATGTTAAAAACATTAGGTAATATGCTGAACTTCAATTATGCTTATAATTCAGTTTACTAGTTAGTTGTTTGAATAGAAAGGGCTGAAATGCGCCATAAAACCATCACCCTAAAGACTGAATTGAGGCTTTTAAATAAGCAGGATTACACGAGCAGGATTACACGAATGGAATCTTGAAGGATTGAATTTAATTAAATCCTACAATTGAATATACCACAAAAACTATTGCACGGCCATAATCAGCCAATAAAATAACCATAATTTTATGGTGCGTTACATAATTGTAAATATGGGAATAACAGCAGTATAGTATTAGTAATACTAACAGAAAAAATTGGAATATCAGGCAAATACAGAGTAGATAGGCAAATACAGATATAGCAAAACATAAAGAAACTACAGATATATTAAAACATGCATAAGAAAAAGTTCATTATGCCATAGGGGTCGACAGTGCCAAGTTGGAAATTAGATGCATTTCGTGTCCTTTGCATGGACTATCGTCGTTACCAGGAATTGGACAGATGGCTCGAATTTCCGAACACTGTGATTGCCATAACAAAAAAGGTACGTTGTTCGTAGTTAACCTTTTAGATATATTGCGTATTCCTGCATGTAGAATATTCTGATTGATTAATGTCAAGGTTTAGAAGGTTTTTAATTAAGTAGATGAAATGACAACTATTCAAGCAATTATAACGTTCCATTTCTTGAAATATTTTAACATCCTTCAACCAGAAGATGAAATACATTAGGCCAGCAATATCCGCAATGTCCTCCGCAGTATCCTGACCACTGTTTACGATCAGGGCTCATCACCTTCTTGAACACATGTTCAACACATGCTGGATATGAATAAAACAAATAAGGAATGCTATTTGGTAAAAGAAAATTTGTACCACTTATATCGACTTTGAAGTTTCCTTTTCTGTAGCTCTCAGAGCAATGCGAGGAAAGGCAGTCTGCAGCACTTGCAAAGGGGTGAAACTTGTTTTTCAGACTTGCAGCAGCAAATTTGTAGTCGTTTGTATGTACTGACATGTCCTCAATATTGAGACGAATCTATAGAAAGATTAAATCAATTTGAAAGTTCAAAAGGATAAGAGTTTAATTAATAAGTGGGATATCGGGAGGTTAAGGAGCGAATTGGTAAGTGCATTAATTCGTTGTACTCGTTCAACGTTACGATATGTTGACGGCAAGATGACGTTGCCATTGTGATACGATTTCTTATAAGTAATAGCATGGCATTCAGGGCGATTCGTGATTAAATGTACCCGAAAGCCGAGAGAGGTTTACAAAAATCTCTCGAGGCTTGAGGGACATTTCATCACTAATCGACCGTAATGCCATGCTATTACTTTGTAATATCATAGTTAACGAGAGAATCGCGCGTGGTGTGTTGCCTGTTTTTAATGCTGTTTGATTGTCTTATGATTGTGGTACGAACACTTTTCATTTATACGTACGCACGCGCAGGAACATATCTCCGCGTTCTTTGGCGTTTTAGGCATGCGCATAAACGGAATTTTCTCCCACAATTGAAATGTTCAAGATTAGGGAATAAAAGCTGGCAAAGTGATTGTTCGAATGCGTACGGGACGGTGTCGTCAGATACTGTCCACGGTTGTGCCGATGATTTTCGTTGAGGTACAGCTCTCCAACCAGAGTTAACGAGGTACGCTTTTGTCTTCTAAAATTTCCCTCATCAAGCATGCAGGGGAAAATTAGAAGACAAAGAAATCCTTTGTTTTCAACCAAATTTCCCTCATGATTTTTCTGTGTTGGTGTAATGTACTCAGGTGAATATGTTGCTTGTGATGTTACTCTGAGTGTATATCCACACCGGGCAAGCTTGAAAAATATGCCTGACCAAGGTGGGAATCGAACCTACGCCGTAGCCCAATGCTCTGCCAACTGAGCTACGCTGTCTGGTCGGTTCGAGTATGTGATATTTTGGAACAGAATCTAGTTCCTTCGATATCAATGTTATCTAATAATAATCATGATTTTAAACTTCCCTCATCAAGCATACAGGGGAAAATTAGAAGACAAAGAATTCCTATGTTTTCAACTAAATTTCCCGGGGAAATTTAGAAGAGAAAAGCGTATGCATGGGTAATGAGGGATAAACGTGATTAAACGTCCCTGTTGAAACAAAAGAAACCGAGTTAACTATAATATTACTATATATAAATATTTTCTGTCTTCATTTAGCTTTTGCGTGCTATTCTTGTAATGAAAACTGATGACAACTGGAAAATCCTTTTAAAAGACATTGGCAAACAAAATTTTTATTGCTCCATCTGAAAGAGCATCAAACAAAGAGCCGGTTGGCCGTTTAATGCTCTATTCTATCTCATCTAGTTCCGAAGTTATACGCTAAAATGTGCAAAATTTTAATTGCTGATTCAGCACAACGTGTGACGTCATTAGTTGGGTAAGTATGTTTATTGTATAGTAAACTAAAGCATAGCTAAGTTATTATTGGCTCAAATAAAATGAAATTTTGCATACAGACAGTACATGATGAGACGCATGGGAAAATACTTCTAATTTTGTTGTCAAGGCAGCACAGTGGTTCCCAGGCCCCTTACACTGATTTTGAATAACTAGTTGCACATTCTCGTACCCAGAGCCCTTCTTACGCGCGGTGCGACGAGGGGCTCTGGCCAAATCCATCTTCCGAACTGGCATCTGGTTGGCTAGTTCTAACACCGGACATTGTTTTCTTACCATGTTTTTATGGTATCCGGTTATGGATTTGGCCAGAGCCCCTCATCGCACCGCGCGTAAGGAGGGCTCTGGGTGCGGGGGTGCTAGTTGCATTTATCTATGTGTATGTCATTTTTGAATTATTATCATGCAAGTAAACTTTTGGCATGCATAGGTCAGGGCCCGCGGAGCGTATTAGAGAGTGGGGTGGCTAAATCATCAATAAAACCCCAAAGGAAAATGTTCAATTTTCTATTACCTTAAACGCTATTTCCTGCATTTTTGGAGGAACTTTAGCAAAAAATCTGCAAGACCATCGTCATAAAAAGTAACAAAATTTAGACCTTTTACAAACTTAAGTAAAAATAGTAAAAATAAAGTAAAAATAAAGGCAGTTTCAACTCCATTGCGGAAACTTTGCAAAAACCATATGAATATAAATAATAATTTCGTTTCGGAGCACGTGGCTGTGTTGAAGGGAACTTCATGTAAGGTACACATAATGGGGTGCTTAGCCTTTATTCATTTTAATTAGATGCGAAAGTTAAAATTAAAATGCCTAGAAAAGGTTTAATTAATTTAGAAAGTTTCATTTAGATTTCTATTTTAATAATTTTGGCTGTCAAAAAAAGTGGGGGGGCTAAAGCCCCCCCCCCCCTCCAGCCCCCCCCCGTCTCCGCGGTCCCTGTAGGTTGGTAAACATACTTCTGATATTATTTTCACCTGATCAGTATCATGAATAAAGATGTTTTATAAAATTCACGCAAAGGGCCTGGGAACGACATTGTTACCTTGGCAACAAAGTTAGAAACGTTTTTCAATGCGTCTCATCATGTACAATCAGCATGCAAAATTTAATTTGATTTGAGTCCATAATAACTGAGCTATGCTTCAGTTTACTATTCAATAAATGACGTTACACGTTGTGCTGAATCAGCAATTTATATTTTGCACATTTTTGCGCATGACTTGGGAACTAGATGAGATAGAATAGAGCATTAAACGGCCAACCGGCTTATTTTTTCATGCTTTTTTAGATGAAGCAATACAAATTTTGGTTGCCAATGTCCTTTAATTAAATTATAAGCAATGAAAGAACCTTTTCAAAGCGTGTCCACTGTTCTTCTGTTCCGTCGTTTTTATTGTAATGAAGTGCAAAATTTTTTGTCCCTCCGGCTGGTAATGTGACATATTCTTTAGGATTGGCTGTATTCATATCTGCGCAGTAGATCTTTGCAGGCTGAGTGCATTCTGGCAACTTTAAGTAGAGATTATGCTCTCCATCAGATGAAGGATAACCACCTTGAATATCTTTGCATGTTTTTGGATCTAGAGAAGCAACATATTTTTAACGTCGTAAAATTGTGTATATAACTGCAGCCGCCACCTTCTCTTGAGATCAGAAACCTCATTTGAATATTAAAGGCAAAAATCTGAGCAACTCGCGGGAGAACACCTGAAATGAATTATTTGTGCTTTTTAGCTATTTGCATTCAAGCACAAACCGCAAACATTTTCGCACTTTTTACGTTTGAAACGGGGCGTTTACCGTTGGCAACTGAAATGCATTGTGCATAAGTGCAAATGCATAAGTGCAAAGCCTTCCGCTATTTTTGGCGCAACTGTTATATTTTGATGTGCCTCCGTGCACGTTTCAATATCTCCAAGCCCATGATCGTTTTAATCACAAAATATATGAATGTAAACAAGTTTGGTCGCTCTAACAATATCGTATGGTTGGAAATACTGAAATGTAAACGAAGGCACATAAAACATCAAAATAACTGAAGCCTTCGCAGCGTACACAACACGTCACATGAGCAGTGAAACATTTCCGTTTTCAACTGTAAACGCCCCGTTTCAAACGTAAAAACTACGCACGAAAATGTTTCCGGTTTGTGCTTTAATGTAAATAGCTGTTTGTATCGAGCATAGAAATATTAGACCTAGAATGCGTGCTCCTATCTTTTCTCAGTAAAAATTTTGTCTGCACATAATGGCGGATTTTTAATGG